CAGGCAGGACCCGGGGCTGCCCTCGCTCCCCCCAGTGACCCTTGACCCCCCCCCCCCAGGAGCAGATGTTCGGGGCAGGCCTGGCCCGTGTGACCACATTAATAAGCCCTCGGCCCCTCCCACCTGGCCAGGGCAGCTGTCAGTGACTGCCCCAGGAGCCCAGATTTGATTTGAGGCCGTCATCCCCCGGGCCTCCCCTCCCCCGACCCCCTTCCTGGGGCAGACACAGCTGTCTCCTCGGGTGATTAGGGAGTCCCCCTGGTTCCACCCTCCACCCCATCCCTGTCGCCTCCACCCTAGAGAAGTTGCAATTTACATGTCAGCCACGAGGCTGCCCCAGCCCTGTTGTAATTAGCTTTTTGTTCTTGCCTGGTTTCCATGGCAACAGCCTCCAGAGGAACCTTTTTCCTAGGCCCCTTCCCCTCCAAGACCGGTCGCCTCCCACAGCCTCCTTTGGGAACGCCGCCCTACACCGTTCCCACCCCAAGTCCCTGTCCTTGGTGCTGACAAAGCCACTCCCGTTGCCCCGTTTTGTTCTCGGGGTGCCCCAGTGGGCAGCAGGCCCCACCCACTTAGCCTGAACCCAGGGCTGGACGCTTGCGGAGCGTGGCTCTGTCTCGCACTTGCTGAGTGACCTTGGGCAAGGGACACCCTCCAGGACGTGACATCTGTCTCCTAAGTTCCAGCGGGGATTATACCACCTCGTTTGCCCTCAGTCTCGACATCTGTGAGGTGGGCTAACAATGGAGGGAGGGGCCGGGCAGTGAGGCGGCTCTCCATCCCGCGAGCCCGGCTTTGTTCCCGGGTCCTACCCCCAGACTTTGCGGTTCCTGGGTGGGCGCTGTCCAGCTCCGCCGGGGGCTCTGACCAGGTCGGGATGAGCTGAGGGAGAGCCCCGTCCTGGACCAAGGTCACCCCGAGTTTGTGACCAGCCCTTCCCCCAACAAAGGAACAGGGTGGGGTCAGGAAGCTGAGGGCTGTAAGAGGGAGTTTGGGGACAAGGGGGTGGCCTGGCCTCTGGGAGGACATCCTGTTGCTGGGGGGCATTTGGGGCACGGCAGGCAGAATTGTTAGGCTTCGAAAGGGACCCCCCACCCAAGCCTGCCCGCCCCATCCGTCTCGCTCCAGGCTGAGTGGGGACCCCGCAGCAGAGGGCCACGCCCAGACAGTCCCCGCGGGCTGCGGCCGCGGCGGGGGGCGCTCGGCCGCTGACTCGCGCTGTGCTCCGCGGGCCAGAGGTGCCCGGGCAGGGGCGGGGGGCAGGCGGGGTGCAGGCGGCCGGGCAGGGACCCTCCGCGGGGCCGGGTTCGTCCCTTTGTTCTCGGCCTCGCAGGGGCGAGTGCGACGCGGGGCCCGGCTCGGGGTGGGGACGCGGGTCGCGCGCCGGTCTCAGGGCCCGGAGCCCGGGGGGGCGGCTTGGGGTACGGGGAGCGGCGCGCCTCCTCACCTTGGCCCCGATCTGGTTGCCGCACTGGCCGGCCTGGATGTGCACGATCTCCCTCATGCTCGGTGCGGGCGGCGGGCGGCGGCGGGACACGCGCGTTCGGGCCGGGGCTGGCTGCGGAAGGCCGCTCGCCCCCGCCGCCCGCTCTTATAGGCCGCGCCCCGCCCGCCGCGCCCCGCCCCGCGTCCCCGCGCGGCCAATGGCGGGGCGCCGCCGCAGACTGCGGCACGGGCCCCGCAGCATCAGCACCGCTCCGCCCGCCGCCGCGCGGGTCGGGGGCGGCGGGGGCCGCGCGCGGGGCGGGGGGGGGGGGGGCGGGCGGGCTCCGGGGAGGACAATAGGGGCCCCGCCCGGCCCTCGGACCCCGCCCAGGCCGCCCCCTCCGGCCCCGCCGCGGCGGCAGCCCCACCCCGAGGCGCTGCAGGGCCAGCCTTTCTCCCCCACACCCAACCCCTTGTCCCACCCCAGAAGACCGAGATGGACCCTCTCAGCTCCCTGTCTTGTGGCAGGAAGGGACAAACAAGGTACTCTGAGCTGCGCTGGCTCCCTTAGGGGTGGGGGACGCCGAACCCTCCAGAAGAAAGCATGGGGCAGGGCTCAGAAACGCCAAGTCAGAAGGGCGTGGGTCACAATGGCAGCTTCCGCAGTGGGGCTGCGGTCCTGCCGCCCCTCCCCCGGGCCCTGCCCTGAGGTTCCGAACGGGCCTTGCACGTGGGCACAGCGCCGGGCACGCGGCCGCCGCTCCGTGCACGTCGGTGTCCGGAATGGTCGTAAGGACACGAGCCAGTGCGGGGACTGGCAGGCTGGGGGTGGCGGCAGCGGCTTCCGTTCACCGCCTGATGTCACTTGTACCCTTGGACTCTTGGTCCAGGTGAGGCCAACACAACATGGTGGTGGGGGTTATGCAGTGAGATGGGGTGTGCATAAGGCAGAGAGGGGGGTTTCGGGGGGGAAAACTGGGAGAGGGTCCACTGGTCAGAAAAGAAGAGTATAGAGCAGACGTGCAATACAGACGCTGTATTACACGTACATATGCCACCGGCTTCATACTCTCCTGGGGTCAGACGTGCTGAAACCATCTTACAATAAGGTCCTTCTCATATTTCAGTGAGAAAATCTTCCAGGGTCTCAGTCACAGTGCACAAAGCTTCCTCAGGCAGTCGGCTGAGCAGGCCTGCGGGGTGCCTGTGCACCCACTGGGTGTGGCCGTGCACAAGCCCCTCTCCTCTCCTGAAGCTCTCTCGTCTCCAGTGTGGCTAGCCTAGAAATGGGTCTTTTGTTCTCCAGAGACACCCCTCCCCCACAACATGTCCATGATGTGGCTTTCTGTGGTTGGCTTCCGGCTGCCTGGAGCCTCTCCCTGACTCCCCCCCCCCCCCCATTCAGGGGGTCCTTGGTGAGCGTTTGGCTCTTCCCCGGAGCTGGCTGCACCTCCCCGTCTGAGAAAAGGAGAAGCTTTGCAGCATCCTGCTGGCCAGGACCCATTACCCACATGCCCTGCCTCCCTGCGCGATGCATCAGGCCAGGCCAGCTCTCCCTCCATCCCCAGAACGCTCTGGTGCCAGGTTCAAAGCTGACTCACCATCCCGTCTCCCAGCAAAGGCTGGCCCTGCCGGGAACCAGCTCCTGGCCTTGAGGCCGGCAGTCTGGGCTGAAGCTGCCAGCAGGGGTGGGGCCTGGCTGAGACAGAGCTGGGGGAGGCTGGCCAGCGGCTGCGGAGACCTCAGCATCGCTAGACCTGCCTTTGAAGAGGCTGAAACCGACACTTTGGCCTCCACCGAAACTGCATGAGGAAGGGGCCGACTGTATGCCCAGTGTGTGTAGAGGAAACCAGGTGGGTTCTTCAGTGAGAAACCCAGGATTGCAACAGGGAGGGGACCCAAGGGTTTCCAGCAGCAGGTAGCACGGTTCGTCCCAGATGGCCGCCCCTTCGGGATGTGGACTTGGACAGTCCCTGGACAGACTTACTCCATTCTGGGAGGTCCTGCCTCACATACTTCCCAGAGCTGACTAACCCCCCTTCCAGAAGGGCAGTGCTGGGGGAGAGCCGACCCCAACCCCCAGCCCACTCTACACCGCGGGCCCCTCCACGTACTTCAGAACAGACACGGAGGGGGGGTAGCATGACTGGGCTGAGAGAGGATGTGCTCAGGCTGAGGTCACATACGGGTCACGGGGGTCCAGCTTCTGCCACAGGGGAGGACAGCCTGGACAGTGTCGCGTCTTGTCACCATGGAGGTAACGGGTGGCTCCAGTTGCTCTGAGCTGGGGTTTGCATCACGAAAAGAAAACCAGGCCCCAGGCCCACAGAGGGTGTGACTGCCCCTCCCAACTCTCCTCTTGGGCGGGGCCTCAGGCACCCTGGGTCCTTTGGGGCTATGGCTTTCTTTCTTTCTTTATTTTAAGCTTATTTATTTATTTTGAGACAGACAGAGAGGGGGAGAGAGAGAGAGAGAGAGAGAGCGCGAGCATGAGTAGGGAAGGGCCAGAGAGAGAGGGAGGGAGAATCCCAAGCAGGTGCTGTGCTGTCAGCGTGGAGCCCAGCGCAGGGCTCCGTCCCACGAAGAGTGAGATCATGAACTGCGCCGAAATCAGGAGTCGGATGCTTAACTGACTGAGCCGCTCAGGCGCCCCAGGGCTGTGGCTTCTTCACCTAGGCAGGCCGGCTGTGGCTTCTGGCTGGTCTCTGGGATTCACTTCACCCTGTCCGTCACCCTCAACCCCACCGTTGCCCCTCCCCCCTCCTCCTCCCCTCCTCCTCCCCTCCCAAGCAGTTTCTGGAAAGGGGCGAGACTAATGGGGATGTGGCTGCACCAAGCAGAACATTTATCAGCACTGATTACCAGGCCACTTCCCAGCCCGGAGACCCTGGGCCGGCACGGATTCAGGCCAACAACCTCTGCCTTGGCCTGAGCAGGCACCGGCGGTCGCTGGCTGCCGGATGCGTACAGAGCACACAGACGCCCCCCCACCCCCACGCCCACCCCCGCTCCCCCTCCCCGCTGTGCTCTTTGGTCCCCACTGAGCCTTAGATCAGCCCCACCCTCCACTACAGCTGCTGCAGACATGGTCCCTCTGCCTGAAACAGCAGCTCACTCACTTCTTCCTGAAGCAGACCTGTGAAGCCAGGTCGTGCTGGGCACAAAGTCCCTTTTCCTGAGGCCTTCCCGGGGGAGCAGCACTTGTCATTTGACCAACACAGAGACTTCACATCCCAACAGACAGGGACACAAATCCATAGACTTGGCAGCAAAGGTGAATGTCCTTGCCTGGTGCCTGGGTGGAGGTGGAGTGCTCCAGGCGTGGGCAGAGTCTCCGTCCAGGGGCCCAGGTCCCACCTCTCGTGCCTGCAGCCCCACCACCTCCAATCTCCACAGCAGCTCCTGGATATCTGTGCTTATTCCTTTCTCTGGCCCCAGAGGGTCCATGCATCCACACCTCCAAAGATCATCTCATCTGTCCTCTTTGGCAAGTGACTGCCCCGGTCACAGAGGAATCAGGTCATAGGACATCACCACCTCCCTCTGCCCAGCACCCTGGCCTTGAGCCTGCAGCCTCACCATGAGCACAGCAGTACCTCTTGGAGCGTCTTTCGGAGCTCCTGGCTGCGGAAGGCGTAGATGAGGGGGTCAACGATGGAGTTGCAGATGATGAGGGTGAGGAAGAGGTTGAAGTTCTTGAAGACGCAGCCACAGATGGGGTGTTGAGGGCAGAGGACCATGAGTGAGAGGTGCAGAAAGAAGGGGCCCCAGCAGAGAAAGAAAACACCCAGCAGGATGGTGAGCGTGGCGGCGCCCTTGAGGCCAAAGCCCTGGTGGACGGGACGCCGCCTCTTATGGAGCCGGGCGATGCCCCGGGCGTGCTGGCATGCCCGGGCAAGCATGTGGACGTACAGCACAGCCATGAGCACCAACATGGCTACAAAGAAGCTGGTAAGACAAAGCAGGACGGCTGTGTGATTGTAGTAGGCGATGAAGAGCGTGCTGGAAAGGACACTGGCCACCCAGATAGCTGAGATGGCCCGCCATGCCCGGGGCAGTGTGACGATGCTGTGGTATCGCAGCGCATAGAAGATGGAGATGTAGCGGTCCACAGCAATGGCACCCAGGAAGCAGAGGCTCGAGACCATAGCGCCACAGATGAGCACGTCGATGAGGTCGTCCAGCTGCTGCACCACAGCAGCCCGGGTGGCCAGGGCGCCCGCCTCCAGCAGCAGGATGAACGCCTTCTCCAGCACGTTGCTCAGGCTCACCAGCAGGTCGGACACAGCCAGGCAACAGATGAAGGAGTACATGGGCGAGTGCAGGTTGCGGTTCTTGGCAATGGCAGCCACCACCAGCACGTTCTCCAGCACGCTCAGCAGCCCCAGGCTGAGAAAGAGCCCGTCGGGAACGGACACCTCCAGGCACCGGGGCCCTGTGTGGTTGGCAGCCAGCCCGAGGTGAGGGGTGGCTGCGGAGCTGGAGTTGAGGGAGCCCAGCAGCCTCCTCTGGGTGCCCTGCATGAACATATTCACACCAGGGAACAGGAACGGCTCCTTGCTCTCCGGCGTCCTGCTCAGCGCATGGTGCCGCCAGCAGGGTTCCTCGATCCCCCGGGGGCCGCCCTCACATCCACCCTCTCCCTGTCTGGACAAATGTCAGCTCAGGCATGATCCATCTGGAAAGACCCAGCCTCCCACCAGGTGGTCACTTCTCAGCCAGGACCCCAAGCTGCCTTGTACCCATCCTCTGGACCCTCGGCCCACCTCCCCACCTCTTCTGTGGAGGTGCAGTCGCTCAGGTCCAGCCATACATTTTTCTATGCCTCTTGCTGCCTCGTGGCCGGCCAGGCCTCCTGCTTCCCCAGGCCCGGGGTGGGCCGAGGTCCCAGAAAGAATGAAGCCTTTCTCCAGCTCTTCAAGGTCCTGGAGCCCCTCCTCCTGAGGGTGGCCACGTGATGGCCGTGCACCCTGGACGCACGGCCAGAGCATCCGTGGTACCCCAGGCTGCTTCCAGGCAACACAAATGGCACCCAGGGCTGTCCTCACTCCAAGGGCCCTGGACGCCAGGGCTCAGCTGGCCATCTCCCCTGTCACCTGTGTTCCCAGCCTGGCTCTGCTCCCGGCATCCGTGGTTGCGTGTGGCGCGGGGACAGGGGTCTCCTCTAAATCTGCCCCGAGACTTCTAACCCTCCTCCAGACGCACTGCAAACACCACCCCCTTCTTGGAGCCATCTGTTCCCTGACACCCCCCTGACGCCACGCTACCTTGGGAACAGTCATCGGCTGTTGCCCACCCCCAGCCTGAACCCTAACCCGCAACCCCGTGTTAGATGCTAAGGGTGGCCCCTGCCCCTAAGAACCCCCACCTCCTTCACTGAGACCTGCCAGAGGGCATCCTGGGCACATCCGGGTGATCACATCATTGCTCTGCCTTATCCTGCAGTGAGGGAGGGCAAGCCCCCATTTCCTCTGCAGAAGAAACCACTTCAAGGGCAGATCTTTGTCTGCAGCCACGTGGTGCACTGCACGAGTGCCACCAGGCAGCCCAGAGCAGCCTGTGGGCACCTCGCCCCAGAGTGCTCCTGGCGCTTTCTCACCAAAGCCATCTCTCCTCCAAAGGGCGGAGAGGGAGGGGGAAGAGAACCATTTGCTGCAGGGAGAGAAAACCCGGAGCAACAAGAACGTTAAGTGGCTTGTTGGGGGGGGGGGGGGTGCAGGAGGGAAATGGGAGGGCGGCCTCAGTGTTGTGAGTGTATCTGGACATTGTTGTTCAAGCCGGGTGGCCTCCGATGGCAGTGCCAACATGCCCACACGTGTGACCACACACTCGTACCCACTTACAATCACCCCTTACGTCTGCAGCACACAACATACGAAGTTCTTTTCCCCACTTTGGTTTGTGCTTTTTATTGAAGTACATCATACGTAACAAGTACACACGTTATAAAAGTGCAGGTGAGTGGGTGCCCCAACCTCCACACAGCCAGATCAGTCAGTAAAACATGAACTGGGCAGGAGTACTCATGGGCGCCCCCACCCCCCACCCCCCACCCCCCGCCCCGGGGCCACTCCCTGACCGACAGCTCTGCCTGCTCTGGAGTTCTGAGTGTGCTTCTCTCTGCTCGGCGCTCAGACACCCCTGCAAGGTGTGTGCAGCGGTCCACCACGCACAGACCTCCCATCTCCCCATACTTGCTGCGTCTTCTCGTCCCGACTTTTGGTGGACACGGGCCAAGTTTCCGCAGGGCGACAGCTGGGACGCATGCATCTGCTTCTGGCCCGAGTGCACCCCTCCCCCACCTCCTCAGGTAGAAGATGAAAAGAAAACCCAAACCCCAGGGGACCCAGGCGCAGGATGGAACCACACCCCGTCCCAGCTTCAGAACTCCAGAGGGAACGAAGGGTCCTGGGGCCGCGGGTGGTGCCACGGCCAGTGGGGGTGGCCCCAGGACTCGCACTGCAGCTGCCCACCCCAAGGACCCGCTTCTGGACCACCTTCCACATGGGGGGCACCAACCAAGAGTCTGCGGGGGTGTAGCCTTGTCCCCGGCTTCTGTGTTGTCACACTTCAGGGCTGGTAGTATTTCCAGCTCCATAGATGAGGCCTTTAAGATGGACATGCCTCCCCCACCCCCACCCAGCCCGCCTGAGACTTCAAAGGGCGTGAGAACGGAGCACCTCTGGCAAACAGCCAGGCCTCCTCCTGGTGAGGCCTCGAGACTCCCCGTCTGTGCCCGTTGAGGACTTCACGGGAGGGAGACGGTCAACTCTGTGATTAGTCATGCTCACGAGGGAAAGGACTAAAGGAAATCACAGATGATCCTCGAGGCCTGTTAACCAACTCGACCTCTAGTGCCCCCGGGAGAAACTGAGGAAGGGGGTGGACACGGCTGTCCCCTCAGAGCATGTATCAACGCGGGACGATGTGCCTGGCCCACAGGTGAGGAGGCTGTTGGGAAAAGGAGCGCCTGTGCTGCTGAGTCCCCAGCACCAAGCACACAGTAGGCCCACAACATGCTGGCATTCAATGTGTAAATGAGTTCCGGGTGGGGGCCCAGTGGGATGCCTTTGTCTAGCCATGGCCACAGTGGGAGGCAGGGGTCAGTGACCACAGGGCCCAGGCCCTGCTTCCTTCATGGAGGCGTCCCCCAAGGGCCGGAGGGCGGGGAGAACACGGCTGCATGAGCAGCCGTGTGAGACGTGCAGCCGGATCCCCCAGGGATCTCAAGACGGCCTGGCTCAGAGCTGGGTCACAGTGGGTTCTTTGAACTCAGGGAGGGGAGTGTCTTCTGTGCCCACCCTGTGCTGTCAGTGCCAGAGACCCGGAGGAAGGGCATAACTCCTGAACAGTCCCGCCCAGGGGCAGCTCGAGGCCTGGGAGGGGCCACCTCACTCTCAGCTGGACACTGGGCAGCAGGTCAAGTCGCTAGAGCAGATGTTCACGTGTGAGACACCTGGCTGTCTTCTCATCCCCAAATGTTGGCAGAAGCATAGAACTGTAAGCAATAACCTGCGCCCGAGCAGCTTGGCTGAGCACTGAGGGCCTGTTAATCTCTCAGGACGGCAGGCCCAGAGGTGAGCAGTTTCTTCACGGTCTGGGCCCAGCCTCTCTCTGCTTCACTATCCCTAGGACACTGGCTCTTCATTTTGAAGGTCACCAACTCCTGGCTGCAAAATGGCTGCTGTTGCTCTGCCATCACATCCCCATCTGGAAGTATTTAAGGCTGAAAGAGGCAGGGTGCCACGTCCTCCTTGCTTGCCTGTCACTTTCAGACATCAAATCCCTTTCTGGAGGAAGCCAGGAGGCTCCTGTCCTACTGGCCGAAGCTACCACAGGACACCCTAGCAGGAGACACGTGCATCTACGAGTCTGGGACGATCTCAATCCCACTCAATCCCATCGACCAAATCCAGTTATGGCGACAAGGCATGAAGTATGGGTAGTGACTGACAGACCCCAGCACAGCGGTGGGACACCGCCCTGGCCACGGGTGCTCAAAGCGGAGGCTTCTGCCGGCCCTCAGACGCTGGGAACTTGACTTTGACGGGATGACCCGGCGGACCCCCTACAGGTGACTGCAAGGCAAGGTCCGGAACACTGGGAGGGACCTCCTGGGAGGCAGGCCTCCCGACCAGGCCCAGAAGACGCTGATCCGGGCCCAGAGCACGCGAGCAGCACGCCCTCCCACCCCCCTTGTCTGCCACCTGCAGGGGCAGAGATGAGCGCCAGGAGGGGACCCACACACGGACAGCTCACAACTCCATGTCCGTGGCCCTTCCACGGCCAATCAGGCTCCCGGGTCACAGGCAGCCCTACTGGGTGCCACGCTGTCAGGCGGGTCGGGCCGGGCCTCGCCACAGGAGAGGAGCCCTCGCCCATGCCGTGCTCACGGCCTAACCCCTAACCGGGCGCCCCTCCCGCCCGCCGCGTGCGCTCTCCAGAGCTGCCGCCCTCCAGCCCAGTGCTGCCCTGAGGTTTCCTGAAAAACCACCTCGTCAGACTGAACAGACTCTGCACGCGTGGAGCCCACGGACCCTGGTGGCCCCCCTGCTCCCCGCCAGCCTGCTCCACGTCCCCAGTGGAAGCGAACACCGGGCTGTCGGGGACGCCACCCTGAAGCCCGTGGACTTCTCTACTCTGCGCCCCGAGCTGTGGGGGGCAGAGTGGTGGCAGAGAGAGCTCACACGGGGCCTGGGCTTGGCTGCGTGTGGCCGCACACGTTCTCTCCCGAGAACCTGGGGGCCGTGCGGACCCAGCGACCCCGGCCCTGGGAAAGAAGAGCTCACGCTGCGCGCAGCGTAACCCATTCACGTTTATAGGAGACACAGGGGGCAGGCGGACAGCACATCAGCGTTTCTACTCCAGGGGACTGGCTGATCCCGACCAGGACAGCAGTCAGGAACATAATCGTACAGCGCGGGCGCGGCACCTCCGCGGGCTCAGTCCCACTCCCCGTCCCCCTCGGGGTGGTCCTCACGAGCCGCCTCCACGTCGTGGAAGTGGAAGTTGGCCATCATGTCTCGCACGGCCAGCATCAGCCTGTTCAAGCCTTGGTTGCGGTTCGGACCCCCAGCCCCGCCATCCTCCAGCCTCTCCCCCTGCAGCGAGGAGACATGTCTGAGCAGGGGTGTCCTGGGCCCCGAGGCCCAGTGCTCCCAACCCGCTCGCCCCGGACCCTGTCGAGAAGAGGAAGCTCCCAGGCGGGAACGCGTGTGTCTAACGAGACCCAGCGTGGGGGGTGGGAGCCGTGCCCGGTGGAGGGGCCCAGGCGGCAGCTACGGGCTCAGGCGGACATGCCCCGGCCCCCGGAGCAGGCTGGTGCTGCCTCAGCACGGCTCTCACATGCACACCGCACCCCCCGGCGGCGGGGCCAGCGCGCGCTCACATACCTCCATGGTGTAATTGGGCAACAGGGACCGGAAGAACAGGGCGATTGTGTTTCCGTGGCTGACAGGACTCAGCCTAAAAGAGGAGGAAGGCAGGCGAGAAAGTGAAGCGGTACAGCCTGGCCGGGGAGGGCCGCCTG